TTCCAGATATAATAAGAAAGGCAAATAACATAAAAGCTGTATTTAAAGTATCGACTTTGCTCCTCCCCAAAAATATATTGATCAAAATTGTGCTGCACACAAATAATTACATTCTGAGTTACATTCTGAGAATATCAGAGACGAAGTTGTAATACATAGGTTGACCTACGAGATTATTCATCCAACATAATATCGAATGCACTAGAGGAGTCGAAGTACAAAGGATGACAAAAGAATTTATTATAAAGGTCAACAAGTTAGTAGACTTAGTGTGCAATTACAATGTACAACTGTGGTACTCATACTAACGTTATGTAGTGATTTTAGAATAAGGTACTTAAAATACAGTAAAGGCTCTTTGCTGCAGTAGAAATGAATACATTCATAGGCGACTGAACGTTAAAATAGTCAGCAAAGAAATCATATTTTTAGAAATCATATGAATATTAAGAATCGTCAGTTACTGGAAATATATAGGCCTTAGACTCACAATTGAATTATTAAAACTCATTGATGAAGATGTTATTGATTGTCTTCAACAATCCCCAGACAATGGCTGCAATTGACCTTTGTGGCAACACCCAAAAAGTCAAGTGCAAAATCCTGCTCAGATTACAGAACAATAGCTTTATTGAGTAAAAAAATATACAGCAGAATTGTTTAATTGTTAAAACTCTTGAATACGAAATTATTGACACACAATTTGACTTTAGAAATGGTATGGGCACAAGATATGCTTTGTTCGGCTTGCATGTGCTGGCCCAGCAATGCATGTACATGAATCAGGATATGTACTTATATTTTGCAGATTTGGAAAAGGCATTTGATAAGGTTAAAAAAAACTGGTAGTTATAATAAAAATCAAAAATATTGACAATCGTAATATGAAAATTTTATCCAATCTATATTGGAATCAAACTGTTAAGAGTTGACAATTAGAACACCCAATATATCAAAATCCAGAGAGGAGTTCGTTAGGGTTGCGTGCTGTCACCACTACTCTTCAATGTTTACAGTGAAGCGGTATTTAAAGAAGCAAATTTTAGATTCAATAGAAGGTATATCTCTCAATGGAGTTGTTTTGAATAACTTGCATTTTGCAGACAATACAGTAATAATAACGGATAACAACAATGATTTTTAAAACTTAATGCAACGTCTTAATGAAGGCTGTTATGAATACGGACTAAGGATAAATTTGAAAAAAACCAACTGAATGATCATGACTAAATCAACAGATGCAAACATTTAATTAATTGTTGAGGATACTGTAATTGACAGTGTGCATACCTACAAATACTTAGGAACATGAATAACATCAAATGTAGACCAAACCAAAGAAATTAAGAAACGTATTGAAATAGGGCCCGCGTAGCGCAAGCGGTAGTGTGCTTGCCTCGCATGCCGGTGGTCGTGAGTTCGAATCCTACCGCCGGCAAGAACAACTAGGCATTTTTAAAAATGTCTATAGGCCCCAGGTCGACTCAGCCTGAATAAAATGAGTACCTTGGGTAAAACCAGGGGTAATAATAGGCGGTTGAAGCGTAGCACTGGCCATGTTACCTTCCTTGTATACCGTAGGCCCTAGATATAGCAGACTACCCTGCTATACTCCCAAAGCCGCGTGCGGTATAAAACGGGAGACTATTATTATATTGAAATAGCATGTGCATCATTCGTTAAACATAAAAAGTTTCTTTATTGTCGGGATCAAAGATTAGGACCATGTTAGGTATTTACTACTTTTTTATGGCTTGGAAGCATGGAATAAGTTAACCTCCTTTAAAATATGGTGTTACAGAAGAATCATACGAAGATTATGGACTCAAAGAATGTCAAACGCAAAAGTTACCAGAAGCATAGGAAATGAAGCTAAAATAATATTGTCTATGAAAAGAAGAAAACTTAAAACAGAACTATTTAAAGCGGCATCAACAAGGTACGCATAGCCGTGATGATTTTGACTCTTCGATAGAAAATGGAACTTAAAGAAGAAGGGTTAAAAAGAAATCTCAAGGTGACCAAGTATTTTAAACTAGCTAAGTTTTCATTTTAGTTAGATTTTAATATCAATTTCACAATATTTTGGTTAAAAAAAAATTAGCACAAAGAGAAATATTAAAAAAATGTGGTTTACAAGTATTAAATACCAGTCTAAATACTACTTTTTTGAAAACTAAAATAAGTACAATTACCAGTAATATATTTATTTTTAAAGCCGTACAAATAATTAAAGGATATATTAGATATCTAGTTAAAACTGTATTAATATTAAGTAATAAAGTCCATAATGTCCATTGTTACCAGTAAGCTGCTTGTGACCATTTTTTTGAAGTTATATTTCTATACGAACGGTCGGCGTTGGAAATTTGCATGAGAGTGAATCTGTGAAACTATTACATATTATGTAAGATAATGAGTAAGAGAGAGACAGAAGATATATTTTCTCTCTCGAGAATAAAAATGTTCCTTTTGTATATATATTTAATATTATATATATATATATATATATATATATATATATATTATATATATATATATATATATATATATATATATATATAAGATGGTGGTATTCTTGACTGTTGATTTAAATATAAGTTATGATTTTTGAGGATGCAGTCAGTTTATTTGGCCCACAAGACAAAGAAAACTCTTTGACTTACTGTCAAGCTTTCGAATTTTATTTAATTCTTTTTCAAGACATCTATAAAAAGAAATATAAATTAACTAGTTAAAATTGTTAATTTTTTTTACTTACTAGTCGTAAGATTACAGTTTTTAATATTGTACTCTTCTAAACAAACCATAATAAATATAATAAAATTTTTTTTATTAAAAATAACTATATTGCCAAACTGCTGACTGGATTAATTTATATTTTTTATAGACAATTAAATAAATTATAATAAAAACTATTGTTACTGGTTTTGCTTTCCACATAAAGTAACTGTATTTTCATTCATATATGTCCATTAATCAAACCATGACAGTGACATATATAGTGACAATATAGTTATTTTTAATAAAAAAAATTTTATTATATTTATTATGGTTTGTTTAGTAGAGTACAATATTAAAAACTGTAATCTCACGACTAGTAAGTAAGAAAATTAACAATTTTAACTAGTTAATTTATATTTCTTTTTATAGATGTCTTGAAAAAGAATTAAATAAAATTCGAAAGCTTGACAGTAAGTCAAAGAGTTTTCTTTGTCTTGTGGGCCAAATAAACTGACTGCATCCTCAAAAATCATAACTTATATATATATATATATATATATATATATATATATATATATATATATATATATATTAATATTATTATTTATGTGATATGTTTTGTATTATTTAATAAACGTTTATAATTATTTTAGGCTTTTTGTATTTCAAAATAATCACTGTCTTACCAAGAACTGTCAATTTTGAAATCCGTTAGTGTCATGTCTAATTGGCAAATCCTTTACGTATTTGGTTTATACGCTGGTGTTTGTGAGTTCGAAACCCAATTATGAATTTCCTTTTTTATTTTCGAAATATTTGAAAACCTCACATTAATCTTATTAAATATATGTAATATACGCAAAAATGCTAAATTTTAAAATAAAATGAAAATCTGCAACATAATCCGAATTCTTGGTTTTTTATTTTTATCTTAGTAAGTTATGTATATTTGCAGTTTTAAATACTTATGAATATTACATTTTAATTTATATTGTATTATTATATTGAATTATGCTGCAGTGTATTTATTGTATTGTAATTTTTATATTAATAACAAAATAAACAATGAATTTTTCTGCAGAGTACAAGTAAAAATTTTGTTTTGCATTCAACTCCTTTTATATATATATATATGAAAGTAAATATATATATATATATATATATATATATATATATATATATATATATATATATATATATTCATTAAAATATTGATACGATCCTTTATTTACTATACCTATATAACTAATTATTTTTATCTTTCTGCTCTCTCTTACCCATAGCATTACATATGTAAGGATTGTGCAGATTGACTCCCTTATAAATTTGTAACGACAAACGCGTGTATAGAAGTATAACTTCTACCGGCAGTCCCACTTTCAAAAATTTTATTTTAGTATCGGACGACTGAAAAATGACTGAAAAAGAAAATATTAAAATAGTTTTTATTGCTATACTTATTAACTATATATAATGAAGTAATTATTCGCAAGAACACTGGCCTAAAAAAAATTTCATCTGGTGCATCCATTTCTATGGAAATGGATGCACCAGATAAAATGCAAATTTTAAGTATATAATTTGAATTGCATTTGCTTTTTTTATACAATATTAAAACACAATTATTGTCCAGCAATTTTTACGAGAACTACATGTTTTTACGATTCAATTAAAATTTCGTTAATCGTTTTCAAAACTTTTTAAAATTATTCCATTATTATATTAAACCTACACAACACGAAAGTCGCATGTTTTACGATTTTAAGGTTTATTCGTAATTCTACTCGCAATCTAAAGGATTACTAGTTTCAGTACAGTTTTAATATAAAAGTCAACATCTTCCATGAAATATTTATGCAGGATACAAAACAAGCTCTAGAGGCAAACTCCGACACGTCCACAGCCAACTTCGATGCAAACGCTGACATGCCAACTTCAACCAATAAGAATGAGGCGCATATCAAAAACAGGGCCATAACACTACTTCGTCACATTAAAATATGGAAGAGAGTAATTAATAAACAGATACATGAAGAAAATATCCATTAATAAATTTGGTTTTATGCAAAGCAGATCAATAACAGATACTATTTCCATTTAATAAAAAAGGTCTAAATACAGACTTTAGTCAGATATATGTCTTTGAACGAAAGTTGTAGTACAAGTATGTAAAAACACATTGTTTTAATTAAATTTTTTTATTTGGTATATGTTACAAATTTACAAAATGTTATTGCTTTCAAATAACTTAATTTAGGGAGTAATTATACATGTAATTAGTGATGACCATGATGTCCATTATGCCCATTGTGTCCATTGTGTCCATTATGTCCATTGTGACCGTTTTGTCCATGATGCCCATTTTGTCCGTGATGTCCGTTCTGCCCATGATGACCATTGTTACCGTTGTGTCCGTTGTGTCCGTTATGTCCGTTATGCCCATTATGACCATTATGATGTCCGTGAGGATTATGTAAATGTAGTGGCAAAGTAGGACTGTCTGGTACTGGTTGTTCGGTAGGAGTATGAGGACGGACATGATGCGGGTCAAAATTTTTGCTCTCGGCAGGTGTTAACACGTAGCAAGAGATGCAACCAAAGACAACTAATGCAAACTGTAGTTTTGAAACCTAAAAATAATAAAAAAATATAAAAACAATTTTTACTACGCATAGTAAACGAAGTTTTATTTTTAGTAAAACCATATGAAATAAATATTTGAAAAAAATCGTTTGGTAATTTAAAAAATAGTAAAAAAAACTGGATGAAGAATATAAATTGTGATATGTTGTCAAAAATTTCAAGATGATACTAAAAAGAGTGATTTACTTGACTGTAAGGGATTACTTTGGTCAGTCAATAATGTTTGTTTGGTCAAAAATGACCAAGGCAGAGAAATCAAACTCCGAATTGAGACTGCAAGGCAAGCATTTGTAAAAATGAAGACAATGCTTGCCAACAGAGACCTTCAGTTGCATCTCAAATTGAGGGCTCTAAGATGTTACATATTTTCTATCTTACTATACGGAATAGAAGCTTGGACATTGAAGAAACAGCACATAAGAAAAATAAAAGCGTTCGAAATGTGGTGTTACAGAAGGATATTAAAAATTCAGTGGGTTCAAAGGATTACCAATGCTGAGATACTACGACGTCTAAATATGGAGTTAGAAATTATGAACAGCATAAAAAAAGAAAACTATAGTATTTTGTAACACAACCAGAGGAGAAAAATATAAGCTGCTGAGAATTATTATGCAAGGAAGGATCCAAGGAAGAAGAAGCATAGGAAGAGGACGCATCTCCTGGCTGAAAAACCTTAGAGAATGGTTTAACTGTAGTTCACTACAACTTTTCAGAGCAGCAGCCAACAAAGTGACCATAACCGTTATGATATCCAACCTCCGATAGGATATGGAACTTTCAGAAGAAGAAAGGCTTACTTGGCAATAGCTTGTAAGATTATTAGGCAATAGTGTAAGTTGCTTTTGCTGAAGTTAAATATTAATGAAATCAAAATTTCGCTTAAGATTTGGAAAAATATATCTAAAAAGACCAGGAAAGAAACTGGGTCTAGTAAAAAAGTAAAAAAATCTCTAAAATTATAAGTGCGCTAAAAAGGAAGTCTGAAGAAAAAATACATGAAGAAGAGATACAGAAAATCATTTACGCAATAGGCACAAAAGTGAAGGACAAAAGAGCAAAATACAAAAAAATATTTAAACAAATAGCAAAAAAAATTGATATTGAAGTTACATGTATGCAAGACTTAAATATTAGTTAGTTAGTATTAGTATTTAAACGAAGTATTTTGCAGAATATCAATTGAAAAAAGCTTTATTATGCAGCTTTAAAAACTGAAGTCGTTAAAAATAAAGTTATTACATAAAGATACTTACCATTTTTTTATGTTATTATTAAGCTTCCTATAAATTGTCACACACAATTGAACTGAATCTATACTACCAATTTCGGATGTTTATATATTATTTTACTACACGGTTTTTGTGTAACTTTTAAAATCCAAATTATTTTAAATCTGTTCTTAATAAATAAACATTTATTTGGGAAATCGATAATATTGCGTATTAGGTTGGCTTTAATACGGGATATTACAAAATCAAAAATTTTAATAGCTTATTAATGGTTCTACTGATTTCTTTATTTACAAAAAATAACCAAATTAAAATTTTTCATTGCAAAGAATCAATGTTTAATTAGTTTTACACTTAATTATTTTCTGAATGGTAAACACGTATCAAAAATATACAAAAAGAAACAAAGTAATCATAAATCTAGATTGTCGAGATTTTATAATCATTTTGATTAATTCTAAGCAATTTAAATGATTATTTCCCTATTCTCTCTTGAAGATTTTATGGTCTTTTATAAAATTAATTAAATGGCTCGGAATTTATAACTGCTTTTAAACTTTTTAAATAGTCAAGCTATTCCTGAGAATTACACTTGTAACGTGTCCCTTTGGGGACACGTTATATCTAACGTGTCCCTATGTAATTTGGTGCCCAACCAGAACATCAGTATTGGTGGAAAAGAAATAGAACTCGTAGATAGATATAAATACCTGGGACATGAAATTATGATTGGCAGAGATAACCAGACTCATGAACTGAAGAGAAGAGTCGTCCTTGGGTGGGCAGCATTTGAAAAACTGAGAGAAGCTTTTAAAAGTGAGCTGCCCACATGCCTAAAGAGAAAGTTATTTGATCAGTGCGTCCTCCCAGTCTTGACGTACGGAGCAGAAACACTTACCTTAACAAAAGCAGCAGCTATCAAACTGAGAGTTACGCAGAGAAGAATGAATAATGTTAGGAATAACTCTTCGAGACAGAATAACAAACGAAGACATCAGGAGAAGAACCGGAGTGACTGACATCATCGAGAAGATAGCCAGACTAAAATGGAGATGGGCAGGACACATAGCCAGAATGACAGATGGGCGATGGACAAAGAGGTTATTGGAATGAAGGCCAAGGGAAGACAAGAGAAGCGTCGGTCGACCACCTACAAGATGGACTGACGATTTAAGAAGACTCAATAAAAACTAGATAAAAGCGGCGCAAGATAGACGGGGTTGGAAACATGAGGAAGAGGCCTATGTTCAGCAGTGGACTCTTGAGGCTGGATGATACTTGTAACGAAAATATTTTACCTACCACATGGGGTATGACTATAGGGGCTGAAAGTTGGGGGCAGAAACTACTGGGTGTGAGATAGGGCAAGCAAAATAATCGAAACATATGCGAACGGCACTCAGGGTTTGTTAGGAGAGCTAGGGTCGTGAATAAATAAATGGTAAGGGGGTTGGATTGGGGTAATTACAAAAATATGAAACAAAAGGTCATGAATCTCTTGGGACAAACAAAACAAAAAGAAACAGGGAACACCTCTAGTAATTTAAAAAGGACGCCACTACGAGGTGCCTAATTATAACCATTACAACAGCTTATTGTAACTAGAGAAATAATTATTAAAAATGAAAAACATATCTTTTTGTATAAATATACAACAAAAAAATGCCATCCTCAAACTAAAGAAAGTGCAAGGACTTGCTTGATTGCAATCATAGGGGATACCAGGTGCATACGAACAGCTGTTATAGAGTCCCCACTGGATCTCCCGTATTTACATATAATTGAACGGTTTACAAACAACAATATCGTGCATACCACATATAAGTACAGAATATGGACTGGATCTCAATACAAAAAAAAGTACATGGTAGTCAGTAAGCCCGAAATATTAAATACACACCTTTTGGTCAATCAATAGCCAATTGACAAGGTAAACAGCGACATACTTCGGTACCAACAGCACTGTAGTGAACTTACTGAACTAATACAACCGGAAAGCAAACTGAGCGTTCGTAAAGATGAAGTATCTTTTCAGAAGTCACAATTTACCACGATACTAAAATTTCTGTCAACAGTTGTTATGTGTCTTTTAAGTTATTATACGGTGTAGAGGCTTAGATAATATCTCAAGCTTTTTTTAGAAAAGCTCGAGGCTTTCGAGATGTGTTTACAGGCGTACCTTAAGAATTTCATCGGTGGATCGTGTGACTAATATTGAGGCCCTATTTAGAATAAACAAAGAATACGAGAATATAAACACAAAGAGTGCAAATTAGAATACATGGGACCTGTTATGAGAAACAAATAAATTAATTGATTTTTGTAACCTCTTTATTCTGTTTGTTTAAGGAAATGTACTTGGAAAGAGAATATTAGGTAGAATAAGAATATTTTAGCTTTAAAATAAAGAGGGAGATTAATAATAACATCATCAATTATATATGTGGTACTGAATGGATAATAGTTTCTGATCATATGATCTTTAGATACAGCCCTAAAGTAATTTTGCAAGTGAAAACTTGCACACAAAAGAGATGGAAGATATTATGACCGCAGGTTTATATCTGGATTAAAGACTGATCTGGAGTTTGTAGGGTTGGAAATTTAAATTTTCATTTAACTACTTTATTTTAATTATAATCCTACTTTCATAATCGCTTAACAAGCTCCAAAAATATTTCAAAAGAAACTTGGTCAATAATAAACGATTTTCGAAATAAAACCAGTACAGCGGATCAAACCTTTTCTTTTCCTAACCACGAAAATCTAAATGATTACTTTGTTAATGTGAGTAAAAATATAACCTCAACTATTTCGCCATAACAAGATCCAGTTTCCTATCTCTCTAATTCAAAAAACATTGCTGATACCTTTTTTTTAAGACCAGTTGATAAGACGGAACTCATTTCAACAATTCGTAGTATAAAAAGCACATCGTCCTGTAGTACAGATGGATTATCTATTAAAATTTTCTCAAATCTACCGCATAATGTTTTGGAGGTCATGGTCTCGCTAGTAAATGATTCCCTTGAAAAAGGTACATTCCCTAACTGCCTAAAGACTGCCATCGTCATTCCTCTTCATAAAGGTGGAGAAAAATCTGATGCCTGCAACTATAGACCTATTGCCTTGTTACCAGCACTATCAAAAATTATTGAAAGACTTATAAAAGTTCGACTTATGCCCTTTCTCCTTAAATATAATATTTTATCGCAAAATCAGTTCGGCTTTTTGTCTAATAAATGCACTAGTGTAGGGATGGCGGTTTTTGACAAAACACCGGTTTTCGGTTATACCGGTTTTTTTTGCTTACGGTTTAACCTGACGGTTATAACCGGCCAAAAAAACCGGTTTTTGGAAAAACCGGTTTTTCGGTTTTTTTAATCAAATAGATTACAAACTTACATTTACAATGCACTTTAGTTTGCGATACTTCATTCGACTCGATATCAATATTATCAAAATTAGTACTATCGAAAGAACATCAATATCAATATAAATAAGACACAATTTTTAATAAAACCATTTTATTCTATTAATTATTATATTTTTTTATTATTCTATTAATATTATATATTTATTGATTATTATTAAATATAATATTATACTACTGCTCAACAGAGAGCCCTGAAATAATTCAGGTTCTATTGTCATTGAATATATTATGAGAGTAGAATATAATATGCAATTATCGTATTCAATTATTGATGCAAATTTAATTTACCATTTAAAAATATAATCCTTTAACACTTTAACATATCCACCAATTTTCCTCTCCCAAACTCAAAAAATTCCTCGACCATTGCAATTTATAAAAAATTTCCCAGACTCTTTCGAATGGGATTTAAAAAAATAATATCACCACAAATATTTTACTTAAAAATAAATTGGATAATGCAATTCATCTTTTATTTTTACTACCATCAAAAAAAATTTATCATGTATTACTTTTAACACATTTGTATATTTGTATAATTGGTACATTTTAACTCATTTATTACTTCCTGTTATTTAAAAACGTAGGGAAATCCTTGGAGATTCATATTCATAATCAGTAATTTGATATTCCTAGTCAGAACATTATTTTTGGTAATCAGCAAAAGCCATTCACCCACTTTCAATGTCAAGAGTCAAGTGTGGAAAATATATGATGTTTCTTATGTAAATATTATGATTTTAAATACCTTTTCAATGAAATATTATCTGATGTGAGTTTGCAATTTTAGTTTGCTTCTGTATTTATAAAATAAAATAAAATTTGAATTATGGTTTTGTTTGAAATATTTACTGGAGAATAATAATTTATGACTGGGATCCAAAATAATACATAACCTAATCACCCTAAAAACCTAATAACCGGTTTTTACTTTAAAAATTAAAAACCGGTTATAACCGGGACAAAAAAAACAACCGACAAAACCGGTTATTGTGAAGTAAAAAACCGGTTTTCGGTTAAAACCGGTAGGTTTTTCCCATCCCTACACTAGTGATGCCATATTTTCTGTGTTACATGATGTATATCTATCACTAAACAGTAACCTCTCCTCCGCCACCGTTTTCTGCGACTATTCCAAAGCCTTTGACTGCGTAAATCACGACACTCTATTAAAAAAATTAACTTTCTACGGAATTCGGGGTGTGTCTTTGAACTGGTTCAAAACTTACTTGGTAGGTAGGAAACAATTGGTTAGAATAAATGACACCGACTCTAGTTGTAAAGATATTGAGTGTGGAGTACCGCAAGGTTCAGTATTAGGTCCCATTCTTTTTTTACTTTTCATTAATGACATCACTTACTTGAAAATTAAAGGGAAAATTTTTCTATTTGCTGATGATACCAGTATTACTTGGAGCAGCTCTGATATTTCAACGCTTCATTCAATTATAACCGATGATTTACTTATAATCAAGGCTTGGTCAGACTCCAACTTACTTAGCTTTAACGTGGATAAGACTGTAGCATTATCTTATAAAGGAGTCATGCAACCCTTGCTTTTGAATGAGAGTCAAATCAATATCGTAAATTCCGTGAAATTTCTAGGTATTCTCATTGACAGTGATCTCAAATGGTCCTTGCATACTGACTCCTTAAGAAAGAAACTAGCCTCAGCTTGCTTTGCAATAAGATCTGTTTCGAAGGAACTAAATTTATCTTCTGTCAAAATGGCATATTTCTCATTGTTCGAGTCCCATCTTCGATATGGGCTTCCATTTTGGGGTTCTAGTACAGCGGCCCAATTTGATACTATTTTTAAGTTGCAAAAAAGAGCAATCCGTTATCTATTTGGTCTCAAACAACTCATTGCAAGACCTACTTCAAAAATCACGGAATTTTGACGCTTCCCTCTTTATTTATTTTGGAAACGGTTTGTTTGATTCGAAAGCATCTAAACATTTTTCCCGATAGACCTGACCATGGCTACTCCATTATAAATTCGGATTGTAACGTTTATTTGCCGATCCCGTCCACTCAGCTAGTAAAGAATTCTATTCTATATCGTGCAAAGAAACTTTATAATCACCTTCCAAGAGAAATTAAATCTGAAATATCCTTCATTAAGTTTCGTAAGGTGACAAAAATCTATCTCCCAGAAAGACCATATTATTCAGTTGACGAGTTTCTTAATGTATAACAAAGAAACAAAATTAGTATTGTTTATAATTACATTTGGGTGTCTTAAGCAGTGGCTACAATTTGTCTCATTTGTTGTTGTCTAAACAAATTATGTAGGTTATACAATAATTTTACTAATTTAAAATTGTGTTATTCTGTTTTTTACTATATTTGTTTTTGTTTTATACTTTTTGTACTATTTGACTGATTTATTTTTTAGCTTTGTCCATAAAATTGTTCAATAATTTTTAGTGACAATAAAGCATATTTCTATTCTATTCTATTCTATTCTATTCTATGATGATATACTTGTATTTTAGACAGAGCTTTTTGCATTACTTTTTGCATTGCTTTTATCTTTTGCATTGCTTTGTGCAATGGCGAGAGGATTTCAGCAGACAGGCAAAACATACCACTGTTGTTAGTCCTAGGTTATCGAAGAATACACTACAAGTAAAGGGCTGATAAAGTTGTCAAAAAAGTATCAACTACAAAATATTTGGGATCAAAGCAAAAGCCAGCGTCCCAATGCGAGTGCCGAAAAACACCATCCTCGACCTGAAAAAGCTTGGATCCGAAGACAACCTAACTCTTACTTAGGAAAGCATAATTAAACATATGACAAACTGTGTATTGGAGATGTGCTACTAGGCCTTAAGTACTGCTAAAACAAGTAAAAATGATCTGCAAGTCATAAAATCCTTCCTTACTGGATATGCGCTGGTTAAAGGATACCTACATACAATTTTTTAATGAGAACTTACAGACTTTTTTAAGAAGAACAGAAGTACAAGACCTAAAACAGTCAACCATATCTTGCGTGACTATGAATCATTAAACCGCAGATGGCAAGCTTTTTCGAAGGATATTAAAATATATGATGGACACCCTATAAGTATAATCAGCCAACTGTCCTCACCTCTATCTCAGACTATAGGTAACCCATCTGACTGTGAGACTTTTTTGTTATTACTTGCAGCTAGAAATTGTCTTTCAGGATTATTCAGAAAAGTTAAAAGTGTTTATAAATTTTATGCTTTTTTTTGGTATTTTATAAAAGTCTAGAGCAGTGCAAAAAAAATATAGAAAAACAACAATTCACATTGGGCAGAATAGTTAAAATAATTGCAAAATCTTGGAAATATAGATTTATGTTTACTTTTTATTTTTTTTGCATATTTTTCATTCGTATTTACAATGTACAAATAATGTAGTGTAAAATATTAAAACACTAATTCCTTTCAACGAAAAATTTGAAACATTAGTTTATTTTGTAAATAACTAAATCAGTAGAATCGTTAACACACTATTAAAATATTTTCATTTTCGTGATATCCCACATTACAGCCAACCTAATACGCAATGTTATAGATTTCCTAATTAAATTTTTATTTATTAAAAAAAAATTAAAAATAATTTGGATTTTAAACATATCTAAATATGTGTGTAGTAAAATAATATAAAAGCATTTAAAATATATTATTTGGATACAGTTCAATTGTGTATGTCAATTTGAAGAAAGCCTAATAAAATAAACAAAAATGGTAAGTGTATTTATTTATAATAATTTCAGTTAATGATATAGCTTTTTAATTCTGCCAAATAATTAGTTTAGTTAGAACATGTTTTCAATTCCCTTCTGATTTTCTTTTTATGCACTAATATTTTATTGTATTCGACTTGCACATACCTAATCTGAATAACCTTTTTATTTTTTGCTATTTATTGAACTGTTTTATATACCCGTCTCTTATCCTTTTTGCTTTTATGCTTATTGTTAGAATTTTTGTATTCTGTATAGTTTTTGATTCAGCTACTTTGGCCGCCTTTTAATCGTTTTTTTTTTTCACTTTTCCGATAGACCAATTCACGTTTTGCTCTTTGTATAGTTTTGTCTTTTCTTTAAATGTTTTTTAAATTTTTTTTCCGTCATTATTCCTTTTTATTCCCTTTTTTCCTGAGAGTTTACAAAATATTTCAATTGCAACATGTCTTACTAGCTATATTTTTCCAAATCTTGTTAGAACTTCCTTTCATGTTCCAGCGGATTCCTTTTACTGTTTTTGTCTTTCTATATTTATCTCTCAACGAATCTTTGTGATCTTCGATATTTTGATTTTATTTTACTTCAAAAATTAAAAATTTACTTTTTTTACTAATGTCTTAAAATATTCGCCAACATATCACAATTTTTTTTAAATATTTATTTGACATCGTTGTGCCTAAAATATCAGTAGTTATTATTTTATTTTTTCTTACTTTCAGGTTTCAAAACTACAGTTTGCATTATTTGCATTTGGTTGCATTTCTTATTACGTGCTGACACCTGTTGAGAGCAAAAACTTTGACCCGCACCATGTCCGTCCTCATACTCCCACCGAACAACCAGTTCCAGATAGTCCTACTTTGCCACTACACTTACATAATCCTCATGGACATCATAATGGTCATAATGGGCATAACGGACATAACGGACACAACGGTAACAACGGTCATCATGGACATAATGGGCAGAACGGACATCATGGACAAAATGGTCATCATGGACAAAACGGACACAATGGACATAATGGGCACAACGGACACAATGGACACAATGGACATAATGGACATCATGGTCATCACTAAATATATCTAGAATAAGTTTCTAAATTAAGTTATTTAAAAGCAATTAGGGTTTTTGTAAATATGTCAAAACTAAAAAATAAATTTTTATATTAAATAATATGCTTTTATATACTTCTACTAAAACTTTCCTTCACAGATATACCTTTTCAAAGTCTGTGTTTAAATCTTTTTTTAATAATTTATAAAAATGAACAATCACAAACATTCGTATGGGGTAATTTCTTTTTGTCGTTTAATGTTCCCTAACCACCTTCACTTTTCTTTCTTCACTTTTCCAAGTACACTTGTTTAATGTAACAATTGCTCACATTTTGTTTATTTCTTTTTCGCATTCATATATTCGATCTCATCAAGAAACTTCTCCGTTGATTGTTACACAGTTACAATAGTAAAAACTCTTTTTTTAGACATTTTCGTTATCTCTTATTGGGGGGGAAACTATTTCATATAGATTTCGTTTAGGGTGCTGGGATGATCTTGATCAAAGGTATCTATTTAAGTCGGAATTTATCGAGAAAGAAGCTGATTGTTTTACTTTAGCTTCAGTCTCAGTAGGAAAGGATTGTGTAGAAGAAATAGTCGAAAGGGGAGCTGATTGATGTACTTTCTGTAACGAGTTTAGATGAACACTATTTTGGGTTTTATTTGAAGGAGTCTGAATATTTTTATTGCGACACTGAGATGCAAAATGTCCTTGCTGCTTGCATGAGTAGAAATATTACTTTTCGATGGAAAAAAATCTATAGTTGTTATCTTTATGGTTAATTAACATAGAATCAGGTAATTTGTTAAGTTAGTTGGCGCTATAAAAGTTTATCGTCGAAAACTCAAGATATGCTTGAATGCTGGATTTGAAGTCCATATCCTGAGAAAGCCAATTGCAGTTAATAGATGTATACTTACGTTTTTCAGTTGTTCTTCTATAACGTTGTGCGGAGTACTTGGGCATCATCGTCATCATCAATCAGCCCTGAGTTGTCCATTGTTGAACATAGGCCTCCTCTAGACTTTTCCATCTGCTTCTGTTCTGCGCCTCTGCTATCCAATTGGTCACGATTCTTTTGAGGTCATCGGTCCATCGCATTGGGGGTCTTCTTCGGCGTCGCTTGTCAGCTCATGGTCTCCACTCAGGCAACTTTTTTGTCCAACTGTCATCTTTTATTCTTGCAACATGTCCTGCCCATCTCCATTTTTACCTTGTAATATGTTCGATATCTTCCACTCCGGTTCGTCTACGAACTTCCTCGTTTCTTATTCTATTTCTTAAGCTTATTCCAAGCATTGATCTCTCCATATTTCGTTGTGTCCTCAATTTTTCGGCTGATGTTTTTGTGAGAGTTAAGGTTTCTGCTCTGTATGTGAGGACTGGTGTAACGTACTGGTTAATAGCTTTTCTTTTTAAATAGATCGGTATATTTGTTTTAAATACGTCTCTCATTTTTCCGAATGCAGTCCAACCCAGACTTATTCTTCTGAGTAGCTCGCATGTTTGGTTATCTCGCGTTAACCTTATTTCGTGACCCAAATACACATATTTTTCCACAAGTTCTATGGGCGACTTTTCGATTTCTATTAGCTCATTGGGGACGAGATTGGTCATCATTTTTGTTTTTCCATAGTTTATTTTTAAACTGACTTTCTGGGTTACTTGCTGTAGTTCTTGTAGTTGTCTGTTATGAGAACAATATCATCGGCATATCTGACATGATTGAATATCTTTCCATCGATGCTAATACCCTTTGATTCCCACTCTAGCCGTTTAAATGCGTACTCCATAACTGTTATGAATAGTTTTGGCGACAAGGTATCTCCCTGCCCCACGCCTCTGCCAATTTTTGTCTTCTCAGTCATGCAATGGAGGTTAACGGTTGTTGTCGCATTTTCGTATATATTTCGAATAATATTTGCATACCTTTGATCTATTCTGCATTCTGATAGTGTTTTTAAGATAGAAACTGTTACGACTGTGTCAAATGCTTTGTGGAAGTCGACAAAGATAAGAGCGAGGGGTCTGTTATATTCGATAGACTTTTCAACTAGAGTTTTAAGGCATTGCAAATGGTCGTTTGTTAGGTGTCCCGCTCGAAATCCTGCCTGTTCTTCTGATTGATAGAAATCGAGTTTTGCTTCTAATCTGTTTGTCAGTATTCGAGTAAAGAGCTTGTATAGGTGATTAAGCCAACTAATTGGCCTATAGTTTTCGAGATCTAATTTATCCCCTTTTTTGTGGAGGAGGATTGTAACCGAATTCTTCCATTTACTTGGAATGTTTTCACTATGCAGACATAGATTAAAAAGTGTTTGGATTCGAGACATCAAAAGTGGACCTCCTAGTTTAATTGTCTCAATGACTACACCATCTTCCCTCGGAGCTCTATTATTTTTCATATTTTTGAGGGCATGTTGAATTTCCTCTCGTGATATATCTGGTATATCCTTCGATCCTACATTATGTACCTTTTCTATTGGTTGTTCGATGAGCTCTGGAATAACTTGACTTTTATATAATGTTTCATAGAAACTTTTCTGTAATCAGTGTGTTTTGTCAGTGTTGGCTTACGGTGCGGAAACGTTGACTATGACAAGGAGAACCGTTCAAAAGATCCATGTGTGTCAAAGGGCGATGAAGCGTGCTATGTTGGGCGTTTCACTACGAGACAAGATCCCAAATCGCCAGCTACGACAAAGAACAGGAGTGGCTGATGCAGTAGAGAGAGTAGCGACACTGAAATGGAACTGGGCAGGTCACGTGGCTCGAATGACAGATAATAGATGGACAAAGCGGATACTGTAATGGAGACCAAGAAAAAATGCCTTCCGAAGCAGAGATCGTCCACCAACACGTTGGACTAACGATTTAAAACGTTGTCATAGGAACAAGATCGAAATAGATAGAAAATTATAAGGAGGAGATCTATGTCCACCAGTGAATAAGCGAAGATTGAATTATGAATGAATAGTCAGTATTTTTGTACTCATTAGGTAAGTACATTTTCCCTACTTGCATAATTCAGTCTAATTATATCAGAGAAGATCTCGTTTATTACCTATTTTTTCTTAACAAATAATTTTCTGTAATTAAATCTCCAAACTCCATAGCATAATGATGTCCCTTTGTTTTTTGTTTTATCATTGGTATACCTATCAGCCAGTTTGTTAAATATTTTCTAAAGATTTGTTTACTTCTTCTACTATTTCAATATTATAGCAAGTTGTTTTTTTTTACTTACGCGGAATGCGGCATATAAAATTACTAATTTTATATTCCGCATTAAAAATGAAAAAACACAATTTTTATAAACTTTTTAATTGGTATATTTTTATATATATTCAAACATTATAAAATTGCATTCAAATGTCTGTATTATCGATGAATCTAGTGATGGCCATGATGTCCATTATGCCCATTGTGTCCATTGTGACCATTATGTCCATTGTGACCGTTTTGTCCATGATGTCCATTTTGCCCGTGGTGTCCATTCTGCCCATTATGTCCATTATGTCCATGATGACCGTTGTTACCATTGTGTCCGTTGTGTCCGTTATGTCCGTTATGACCATTATGATGTCCATGAGGATTATGTAAGTGTAGTGGCAAAGTGGGACTGTCTGGTACTGGTTGTTCGGTAGGAGTATGAGGACGGACATGGTGCGGGTCAAAGTTTTTGCCCTCAGCAGGTGTTAGGACGAAATAAGAGAGGCAACCAAAGGCAACTAATGCAAACTGTAGTTTTGAAACCTAAAAATAACAAAAATATAAAATAATTTTTATTTCTTACTGCAAAAGCTGTCATATTTTTAATTCAATAATATAAAATTAATATTTGAAAAAGTTTTTTATTAAACTAGATGACCACAGCACTTGATAAGCACAAATTTTGGTATATAAGAAAAATTTACCGTTTTACGTAATGCTAAAGAACAGAAGATGTGCATTTGTGTAATGAACAAGGTAATGACTAGTAAGTTTATAGGTTAACAACACAAGTCCTATATGCAAGTTATTGAAACACGAAGGCAATTATGCAAGAAAACAACACCATTAAACTCAAATGATGCATATTAGAAGACAGAAATTGATATCCTTAGTAATATGAAAGTAAATTCTAACAAAATTTGGAGTAATATGGCCAATATTATAAGACTGTATAATATACTGTAATTGGAATAGTTGGAAAAATCCAAGGAAAAAGATATGTATATAAACTGATATGTGGTGGACAATAGAAGTTAGAAATGGTCAAATAAATGAGAAAACTGTACAAGGAACGACAAGAAAGTAAGCTGTCTCAGATGATGAAAAGTATAAGTTTGCTAAAAAGTAAGTCAAAATGGCTTTAGCACAAATAGAGCTAAAACTAGAGTGTTATAATTTACATGATAAACATAAAATTAGATAGGAAAGAGGAAATTGCATAAAATAGTCAAACAAAAAAAACTCAATCAGTTTAAGTTTTTGCACAACCAAAAAATAAAATCTCAGTGCCCAAAAACAATGTCAAAAAATTATAACAAGAAACAGTCTGAACGAAAAATTTATACAGAAAATCAGATTTATTAAGTTTACTACAAACAAAATTTACTTACCATATTGCTTTTTTTATAAATGGTTAAGATTGTTTCAAATTGCTAAAAACAATTGTACTGTGTCAATAGTAACTATTTAGCATGTTTATATATCATTTTAGTGTTAGTATTTTTAGTAATTTTTGAAATCCAAATTACTTTAAATCTTTTCTTAATAAAAAAAGTAATTGGGGAATGGATAACGTTGCGCATTAGGTTGGCTTCAATTTGCGGTATTAAGGAAACGAAACTTTTAATAGCGTATTAATAGTTCTACTGATTTCGATATTTAAAAAATAAACTAATTATTTAAGTTTTTTTATGGCAATAAATTATTTATTATTAGTTCATATATTATAATCGTTTTAAATAGCAAATTTGTATAAAGAGATGGCAAAATGGTTTTCAAAATATATTTATCTATATCTAAAATTTTAACCCTTTAAGAGTATGTGCATAAAAATGCACAAAAAGGTAAAACAAGCAGCTTGTCTTTAAAAATTCAATGCAGCTATCAAAGTGAAAAATCAACAGAAGAATATAATCACAGATAAACATCTAGAAATATGTATATGGACCAAATACATATAACAACTTTTTGATGATAACAGGTCCAAACAACCTCCATTCTACATATGTAATGACTACTGACATATTTAGGATGGGAAAGAGCAATACCACTACTAAAAGATGGTAAAGCTCCTGGACCTGACAATTCTTGGTTACATTTAAAATCATCATCAATTACCATAAATACCCTCCTACATAGTATAAACTCAAACTCCTCACCTCCATAAAAGTAAGGATGTTCAAATAGATCCCGAGAGATTGGTAAACTCATCACTGGTCTACCTGCACCACGTGGCAGGTATAGACCATAAACCCCTTGCAAACTGCTAAGATTTAGTAATTTGACAGGATAATCTAAAATATGTGTATTAAATGCAAATGTAATTTATTGCTTTTTATTTGGGAATACCTCAAAATTCTATTGATTGCTACCTAAAACTATACGCCTAGAAAAAATTCTCTTTTATTTTTATTATTATATTATTATATTTAGCACTCTTGAAAATTTACAATACTTGCGAAAGCAGAGGCATATTACTTGTATGGTACATTTCAATACGTTCCAAAATTTTTCTTGCAATTATTTACTATTCATAGCTTATTAAATGGGTATTACTTCATTAATTCGTTGCTTCGAAGAAGTTGGTAAGTCCATTAAGACTTGTGGCTGATTTCGTAATTGCTGTTCGACCATCTGTGAACCAAATACTTTGGATTCGGCACAACAAACATAAGAGGAGAAAAACTCATGGAATTCCTGGAACAAGAAAACATGTATGTTATGAATACCTTCTACAAAAAGAAACCTAACAGAAAGTGGACATGGGTCGCACCTAACGGAACTACCAAAAATGAAATAGACTATTTTCTCTCAAACAACAAAGGAATATTTGAAGACGTCACAACAATAAACAACGTAACAACGGGTAGGGTCCATCGTATAGTCAGAGCAAAAATAAATATTAACATGAAAGAAGAGAGAAAAAGGATTTTTCAAGAAACAACGAGGATAGATGCCTTTAAACTAAGAACAAATGAAGAGCAATTCAGAGAGGTCTTAGCGGATAAGTTCGAATCTGATCCTTCACATAATCAAGATCAAATTGATGAGATTAAAAAAAACCTAAATAAAAACCTTCTCGCAGCAGGACTACATGTCGCAAAGAAAACAAGGACTAGAGAAGACAAAATAAGCAATGAAACTAAATAGCTAATGACGGAAAGAAGACAACTACTAGCGCAAAACAGACGCCATACTCAAGAATATAGAGAACTTAATAAAACAATTAGAAAATAACTAAAACGCGGCATACAAAAATGGAACGAGAACTTAATAGAGCGAGTCATTGAAAACAACAGAGGCTTAAAATGTCTAAGACCCGCAATGGGAGTTCAAAAAATCATTAAAATTAAAGACGCCAACAATAAGGTAGAGAAGGACAAATATAAAATAACAAATAGTGTCGAAGACTTCTACACATCCTTGTACAGCTCGCAAGGCCAGCCTAATGAAACAACAAAGGAGAACGTCAAAAGAAAAATAAAAAACGTGGGATCAGAAGTACTACCAAATACAAAGGGATACGAAATAGAAAGAGCTTTAAAAGAACTAAAAAATAATAAAGCTCCAGGACGCGACGGTATAATTGCCGAGCTCTTAAAAACAAGCAAGACATTAACAATCCCTGTACTAATAGAGCTATTTAATAGATGTCTCCATAATAGCCAGATCCCTAAAGACTGGAACGAGAGTCTAGTAATACTCCTACACAAAACAGGGGACAAATGTGATCTACAGAATTATAAACCTATATCGTTGCTCAGTTAAGTATACAAACTATTTATGAGAATTATTAATAACCGGTTTACCTACAAAATCGATAATTACCAACCGGTTGAACAGGCTGGCTTCCTCAAAGGATATAGTCCATCAGACCATCTGCTGACAATGAAAACATTGATAGTGAAGGCAAATGAATACCAACTACCCGTATTTCTTGCCTTCGTCGACTATGAAAAGGCGTTTGATAGTATCGAGATGTGGGCCATAGAACAAGTTATTAATAATTGTAGAATAGATTCGAGATATAGGCAACTAATACATAATATATATGAAAATGCAACTATGATAGTACAACTAGACGCAAATACAAATCCCATCCCCATTAAGAGAGGAGTGAGACAAGGAGACGTAATATCGCCAAAGCTTTTCAACCTAGCACTAGAAGACGTCTTCAAAACTACAAATTGGTCAACCTATGGCATTAACGTTAATCGCAACAAGTTAAACCACCTCAGATTCGCTGACGACATAGTGATTATAGCGAGCACATTCGAGGAACTGCAATTTATGTTGGGGGAACTAGCAGCCAGCTCCTAAGACGTCGGCCTAAAAATGAATATGAAAAAAACAAAAATAATGACAAACACAGATGACCCCAGACATATAACTATAAACGGAAGTGAGATAGAACAAATCCAGGAATATATCTACCTAGGCCAAATCCTGAGACTTAAAGATAGCAAAAGTGCGGAAATAACTAAAAGAACAAGGCTAGCATGGGCAGGATTTGGAAAACTTAGTTGGATACTTAAGAACCGCAATATACCCCAATACTTGAGGAGCAAAGTGTTCAACCAATGCATCCTTCCTATCATGACATATGGATGTCAAACCTAGACCCTAAACAAGGCAAACATGAATAAACTAGCCACAACAGAAAGAATAATGGAAAGAGCAATGTTAGGTATACGACTGTCAGATAAAAAGAGGAACGACTGGGTAAGATCCAAAACAAAAGTCGAAGACATAACAACAGAAATTGCCAAACTTAAATGGAGCTCCGCGGGCCACACTGTTAGACAGAAAGACCAACGTTGAAATACTACAATACAACATTGGAGACCTTACGAAAGTAAACGACCAAGAGGAAGATCACAAATGAGATGGGTTGATGACATTAAAAGAATAGCCGGAACAAATTTGGAAATATGTTGCTTAGGATAGAGACCGATGGAAGGAGTTGGGAGAGGCATATGTCCAAACATAGACGACAGAAGGCTAATAAGAAGAAGAAGTTGAGTCGTGGACTCCCACAGACGCTATCTGCAAGAAAATTGGGACTATTGAACTGTGACTTTATCATAGAATTCTGAAGATATCCTATACCGACCATGTTACTAACCAGGACGTTTTATTAAGAATTCAAAAAGGGAAAGAGTGGTTAACCACAATAATATTAGCCCAAATTGAAAACCTGAGAGATCTTTAAAGAAAACTAGAAGTTAAACGAGGACCAGGAAGGCGAAGAATTTCCTAGCTGAAAAATCTACGTACGTGGTCTAACACAACAACCACAAATCTTTTTAGAGCCGCAGTTTTGCAAAATACAGATTACCATGATGATCGCCAACATCCGAAACCGATAGGCACTACAAGAAGAGGAACAAAATGACATGTTGAACGAAAGTTGGAACAAAGCAGTCAAAGTACATTGATTACTTTGTTTCAAATAGCTAGAAATTTTCAGTCTGCTTAAATCTTTGAAGAGCATTGCTCTTCGTTTTATCACTTGTTTAATTTGCAAGGATCCCTTGGCAATTCGGAAAGAATAATTTTTTTTTTAATTCTTAATTTTTATAGTTAATTTTAATATTTTATAAAAGTCTAGAGAAGTGGAAGAAAGAATAAAGAAACAACAATTCAAATTAATTAGAATTAGTTAAAATGATTGCAAAATCTCGGAAATCTAGATTTATGTTTATTTTGTATCTTATTTTTGCATATTTTTACCCTGCATAAAATAATGTAGTGTACAAATATTAAAACATTAACTCTTTTCAAGAAAAAATTTCAATTATTGGTTTAATTTGTTAATAACGAAATCAGTAGAACCATTAACACGCTATTAAAATTTTCATTTTCGTGATATCCCATATTACAGCTAACCTAATACGCAATGTTATCTATTTCCCTATTAAATTTTTATTTATTAAGAAAAAATTAAAAATAATTTGGATTTTAAACAACTAAAAACACGTGTAGTAAAATAATATATAAACATCTAAAATAGGTAGTATAGATACAGTTCAATTGTGTGTGACAATTTGAAGCAAGCTTATTAAAATAAACAAAAATGGTAAGTGTATTTATTTGTTATAAATCCAGTTAATATCATTAACATAAAAAGTTTTTAAAACTTCGTTTAATTAAAATATTTTTCAATTCCCTTTTGATTTGATTTTTTTATGCACACAGATTTTATTGTTTTCGACAGGCATACACCTTTAATGAATAATTTGTTTACTATTTGCTTAACTGTTTTATATACTACTCTCTTATTCTTTATACTTACTGTAAAAAGTTTATTCTTATGGTTATAGTTTTTAATTTAGCTACTTCCACCGCCTATTTAGGGAACTTATAATTTTTAAGATCTTTTTTTTTTTCCACATTTTAGTCAGATCAATTCACTTTTCAGACTTTACATAGTTTTATCTTTTCTTTAAATGTTTCTTTTAAATATTTTGTGCCATAAGAGATCTGTTTATTCTCAAAAGAGAATATATTTTTCCTGAGAGTTAACAAAATATTTCGATTGCAACATGTTTTCATAGTCCTACTTTTCCAAATCTTGTTAGGAATTCTACATGGAATTTTTGTGATCCTCTGCAACATTTTGATTTCATTTTGCTTCAAAAATTTAATATTATACAACAAAAGTAACTTTTTTGCCTAAAATCTTACTAGTTATTGTTGTACTGTAAATCGCTTGCTTTTACTAATGTCCTAAATGTGCGTCAATAGATAACATGTGTACTTTCAAGTACGTATCTTGGATGAATACAACTTGTACTCTTCTTTCTTTATGCACTTCCTCCAATTCCATACATCGAAACAATACAAAAATTTTTCTTAAATATTCAGATAATATTGTTGTCAGATAATATTAGTAGTTATTATTTTTTTTTTCTTTTCAGATTTCGAAACTACAGTTTGCATTAGTTGCCTTTGGTTGCCTCTCTTATTACATACTAACTCCTGTTGAGAGCAAAAACTTTGACCCGCACCATGTCCGTCCTGATACTCCTACCGAACAACCAGTTCCAGACAGTCCTACTTTGCCACTACACTTACATAATCCACATGGACACCATAATGGTCATAACGGACATAACGGACATAACGGACACAATGGTAACAACGGTCATCATGGACATAATGGACAAAACGGACATCACGGACAAAATGGGCATCATGGACAAAACGGTCACAACGGACATAATGGGCACAACGGACACAATGGACATCATGGTCACCACTAGATCCATCTATAATTAGTCTCTAAATTAAGTTGTTTACACGCAATTAGCATTTTTTTAAATTTGTAAGAACTAAGAAATAAATTTTTTTATTAAAATGTATATTTTTATATACTTTTACTACAACTTCCCTTCACAAATATGTCTCGCTAAGGTCGGTGTTTAAACCTTGTTTCTAATGATTTTAAAAAACCAACAATCAAAGACATTTGTATGGGATATTTTTTTTGTCTTTTAACGTTTCCTAACCATCTTTACTTTTCTTCTTCTACTTTTTCAAATACTGAATTGCTGAAATTTCGCTGCTGTTTAAAAAGGTTGGTTTAAATTTGAATTTTAGAATTTAGATTTCATTATTAACTAATCAAAGAATCTTCGGGAATGGTATAGCTGTAGCAACAACGAATTGTTTCGGTCAGCAGTTTCGAAAATACGTATAGCCCTGATGATCGCCAACCTTCGGAACGAAGATGGCACTTGAAGAAGAAGATTAACTAATCATATCGATCGCTTCTTTCTATTTTATCATACCTTGCCCCAACTTGGCTAAAAATTTTATCGAATATTTTTAATATTTCTTTGCATCTATACCAAACATCCAAAATTATTAATTTTTTAGTCTTTTAGTTTTTTTTAAATAATAATTGCTTTCTTTAAAATTTAAAAGTAGTAATGGTAAATTTTGTAAATTTTGGGTTTTGAGTTTAACTGAACTGTCAATTTAATTGTTCGTAGATTTAAACTTGAATGTCAACATAAGACAGCTCGCTTTATTATTTTGATTTTATTTGTTTTGTTTAAAAAAAGGGCTAACCTCCATTCAATTTTGTAAGTTTTGTACCAACAGAATTTGTAAACGGCTAGAACACATTTAAGTTTTTTTTGTTATTCTTGTTCTCTGTAACTATTAATCTATTTGTAAATTTGTGACATTATTTTTATAACTGTTTGTGGTAAGACACAATAAATGTTAAATTTTGTTTACTTTTTTTCCTAACTCCTTCTTTTGAGTTTTATTTGAAAAATATATGTTTTTGATGTTTTATAATTATTTCCCTAGTTACAACAAGTGGTTGTAATAGGTATAATTAGGCACCTCAAAGTGGCGCCCTGCATTAAATTACTTGAGGTGTTTGAGTGCCGTTTGCACAAGTAGCGATTATTTTGCTTGCCTTATCTCCACCCCCTTAGTTTCGGTCCCCAATTTTCTACCCCTTGTATTAATACTCCATGTGGTAGGCAAAATATCTTCGTTACAACCTGTACACGGTAAGTCCTCAACTAATTTGTCCCCATCCAAAAGCTGGAGAAAGGAAAAATTATAAAAAAGAAAAGAGACTCTTGACGATCTGTGGTTCATACTAGTAATCCAGTAAAGAAAAGGCTAGATAAAGAGGTTGAAGAAAAAGAAGCAGGTATAAAATGATCAAGACAAAAACAGAGGAGAAGAAACTGAAAAAAAATATTGCAAAAGAAATAATCAAGATTGAATCTAAGTTTGAGGAAGAGGGATACCTTGTGTCTGATACGTTTGAAGCCTTACGCCTTTACTTAATCAAAAACTGTATAAAAGATAAAATGTATAAAATGTCATTATACCTCTGACTTTGACATTAGCGATTTAGACAAAGTTTTGAACAAATACCTCCTAATTTATAATAAATATTTTCTATAATTCTGTTTAGTTTTTCTTTAACCTGATTTTTATTGTGCGCTGGGACAAAAAAATTATTTCTACTTGTAGATTTAGTGTAAAGCTATTCCAATCAGAAAGTTGCTTTAAACAGAAAATTACTTATCTTTATTTTCTGTATTAAAAATTAAAAAACACATGTTGATAAAATTCTTTTAATTGACATATGTTACAAATATATACAAAAATTCTAAAATTACTTTCCAATGACTATAGTATGGATGAATCTAGTGATGACCATGATGTCCATTATGCCCATTGTTTCCATTGTGTCCATTGTGTCCATTGTGTCCATTGTGTCCGTTGTGACCATTATGTCCATTGTGACCGTTTTGTCCATGATGCCCATTTTGCCCGTGATGCCCGTTCTGCCCATTTTGTCCGTGATGACCGTTGTTACCGTTGTGTCCATTATGTCCATTATGACCATTATGATGTCCGTGAGGATTATGTAAGTGTAGTGGCAAGGTAGGACTGTCTGGTAGTGGTTGTTCGGTGGGAGTATCAGGACGGACATGGTGCGGGTCAAAGTTTTTGCCCTCAACAGGTGTTAGTACGTAATAAGAGAGGCAACCAATGGCGACCAATGCAAACTGTAGTTTCGAAACCTAAAATTATTAAAAATATAAAACAATTTGTACTACTTATAGTAAACCAAGAAATATTTTCAATTCAATCATATAAAATAATATAGAATAAGCCACAATTAAAGTACGTTTATTGGTGTTTCAATTTCCACTTCGGAAATCGTTCTCCGAAATCGGAAATTGGAGAAAAATTTCTTCGAAAATCGGAGAATGATTTCCGAAGTGAAAATTGAAATGCCAATAAACATACTTTAACCTTTAATTGTGGCTTATTCCCATTTAAATAGTAATTACTTTAAAATGCCACAAGAAAATAGCTTCAGAACAATACTTAATATAAAGTATAAAGGAGAAAAACCCAGCTTATTAATACAAATTGTGGTATTTAAGAAAAAAGATGTGGAAGTCCCATGTATTACTAATAAATTAGGATGCATTTTTTTTGTTTTTGTGAACATCCCATTTATTTATAATCTGTAATAAGGATTACAATAAGTAAATTCTTTAATTAGATTACAGGAGACTTGTAGGAGACTGTCCTGTGACAATGACCTATTAAATCGTAATTTTAGTAACAAAATTATTTGTAACAAGATGCAAAATAAAACTGAAATATTTAAAATGGACCATAAAGATCCAATAGTTGATATTAGGAAATGAAAAGTGATATACGTAGTGTAAAATAGAAAAAAGAAAGTTGGAATATAAAAGTAAATTCTAAGAAAATTTTAAATAAAATATCTAGTATTATAAGACATTCTGCAATTGGCTTGTAGAAAATATCTGACGAAAAAGATTAGCATATTAGACAAAAAAATCTGTAGTGGAAAAAAACAAACTAAAAAGAAATAAGAAAAAACTTTAAAAGGTATGGCAACAAATTAAGCTGTCTCAGATATTAAAAAATTAAGAAAACTTCACTAAAAGGAGAGTCAATTTAGCTTTAGCAAAATCTAGAACTAAAACTGTAGTATTATAATCTATACTATGAGTATAAAAGTGGATAGGCTAAGATGAAGATATATAAAAAAGTTAAAGAAATGAAAAAAAAAACCAAAAAAGTTTAATCAGGTTAGGTTTTTGTAAAAGCAACATAATAAAATTCCAGTATACAGGAACAAAGTCAAAACACAATAAAAGAACAATTTGATTAAATGAAAAGTTTAACAATTTAAGTCATTTATTTAGTTTAGTACAAACAAATTTACTTACCATTTTGCTTTTTTTTTAATTTGTTTAAGATTGTTTCAAATTACCAAAAACAATTGTACTGTGTCTATACTAACTATTTAGCATGTTTATATATTATTTTAGTGCAAGAATTTTTAGTAATTTGTGAAATCCAAATTATTTTAAATCCTTTCTTATTAAAAAAAAAACTAATTAGGAAATCGGTAACGTTGCATATTAGGTTAGCTATAATATTGGGTAATCAGAAAACGAAAAAAACTTTAACGGTTTGTTAATGGTTCTACTGATTTCAATATTTACAAAATAAACTAATTATTTTTGTATTAGGATTTACATTGCAGTCAATTAATTGTTTAGAATTCGTACATTAGTATGTATATTTTTTAAATGGCAAGATGCAATATATAAAAACAAAGTACTATACAAAGTACAAAGTACAAAGTAAAAACAAGATAATTGGACGGTGTTATGCACAAAGCTTCTTCTTCTTAACATGCCATACACCAAAGTGCGTAGGCGACTATCTCATTACTAGAATTCTGTTCTTGGCGGCGTGACACAGCTCACCTGTATTGTGTATTCCTGTCCATTCTTTAATATTCCTTAACCTGGATAATTGTTTGCGGCCGGCTCCTCTCCTACCTTCTATCTTCCCTTGTAGGATTAACTGTGGTATTTCATATTTTGCTCCTCTCAATATGTGCCCAAGGTAACCAATCTTGCGTTTTTTAATTAACTCAAAGAGTTCTTTTTCCACGCCGGCTCTATTAAGGACGTCATCGTTTCGAACTCTATCCACCCAAGGTATGCGCATCATTCTTCTCAATGACCACATTTCAAATGCTTCAAGTTTGTTGATAGATGTTTTTTTCAAAGTCCACGTTTCCATGCCATAAAGCAAGATGGACCATATGTAGCACTTGACCATTCTGTAGCGTATTTCGAAGTTTAGGTGTTGATTACATAAGAGCGGTCTGAATTTCACAAAACCTTGTCTTGCCATTTGTATTCGGGTTTTTATTTCGTGTTGTGGATCCGATTGGTCATTGATTGTGGTGCCAAGGTATTTAAAAGTTTTCACGCGATTTATACGATTGTCACCTATGCATATTATCGGGTTTTCTGGAGGGTTTCTGCTAATGACCATATATTTCGTTTTCAAAATGTTGATTTTGAGGCCATATTTTTTACCTATGCTATTCACCCTATCAAGTAATAACTGCTGATCTTCCAAATTATCAGTTATAATCACTGTGTCGTCCGCATAGCGTAGGTTGCTAATTGATATGCCGTTCACCTTAATGCCTAATTCCGTATCTTCTAATGCTTCCGCAAATATATTTTCAACATGCATCGGAGAGAGTATGCAGCCTTGGCGGACACCTTTCCGGATTTCAAATTCATTTGTATATTGGTCTTGATCAATCCTCACCTTTGCCATTTGGTTCCAGTATAGATTCTAAATAATTCTGATCTCCTTCTGATCAATGTTGGTCCTATGTAGTAGTTCCATCATGTAACATTGTCAAATGCCTTCTCGTAGTCGATGAAGGTGAGGTAGACATCTTTTCGTTGATCTAAGCAGTTTTGTATTAAGGTGTTCAACCATAAAATTGCCTCTCTTGTTCCTAGTCCTCCCTTAAAACCGAATTGTGTTGACCCGCTAAGTTCTTCTAGTATCTTGTACATTCTTGAGTGTAATATCCTAAGAAAGAGTTTCAACAAGTGACTCATTAAACTGATTAAGCGGTGTTCATTGCATTTTGTGGCATTAGCTGTTTTTGGGATCATCACAAAGGATGACTGCAGCCATTCTTGCGGAATGTAACCAGTATCATAAATTCTATTGAACAGCCTTACCAAGATTTCGATATTCTCCTCGTCTAGTAGTTTTATTGCTTCTATATTAATTTTATCTGGACCTGTTGCTTTATGCATCTTTGCGGTTCTAACTGCATATTCTATTTCACTTCGCATTATTGATGGCCCTGATAAGTTTTCGGAAGGAAGTTTGCGCGTTGGTTGTGTTGGTCTTTCGTCATTAAAAAGGCTTTCTGCGTATTGTTTCCACGCCATTGCTATCTCCTCTTCTGACTCTATGTATTCGTTTCTGTCGTTGCGTATTCTTGTTCTGTGGTGGCTTTTGTGTATATTCGATATTTCTTTGATCTTCTTATGTAGTCAATTGTTCTATTTCGTTGCACCTTTCCACCATCCAATGTTCTTTTGCTTTCTTAATTTTCTGACGGATTTCTTTGTGTATCTGTTTGTATTTGTCTTGATTACGTTGTTGTTTATGTTGCCTTCGCTTTTCCATTAGATCCATAATTTCGTCCGTCATCCATTCGTTATGCTTTCTCTTTTTGATCTGTGTTTTAACTTCCCTGTTTACTGTAAGAAACGTTCCTTTATTATCATTGACCATCTCTTCTACCAAAGAGATTATGCACAAAGCTACCAACCCTCAATAGTGATAAACTGAGATAATCAAGTTTAAAGTTTTTATCGATTAAAAAAATCTGTATTCTGTGGATATTCGCTCCGTGCGTGACCATGGTAGGGGTACATTGAAACGATGCCAGCGTGCGTAGCGGCGAAATATGACAAAATTGGAATATTGGACAAAATATTTTTACGCAGAAATTTTATCAAATATGTGTGCAAATACATGTTGCGTATTTAATTCTGCTAATAATAGCAAAATCGGTGAGTGTAGTTTTTATAGGTTCCCAAAGATTACATATAAATTAGAGAAAAGAAAAAGATGAATTCGTGCTATTAATATGAAAAAGTAAATATGACATAATTTCATTTTTATGCAATTGAAATAGGAAAAATTTAAATAATTTACCTTGAATGATATTTCATAAGGCTTCAAGCTAACTGCAGATGACTTTAGCTTTTATATCATAACTTTTACTATTATTGTTTTTAATTATATGCTCTTTTGTGTGAAAAACTTGATTTGCCAGTACTAGATTTTTCGCTTTTTTTTTCGTTTGGAGTTGAAAAGATATATTATGATGAATTTTGAGAAACTCAGTTTTAATACTACATTTATTTTATACATAAACTGAAAAAATATAGTTAAAAACTAATTTATTAGTAATTGTCAATTTCGCATGTATTTAACAATGTCAAACATATGTCATATATTTAACCTGAAAATTGGGACTCCAAAATTGTCAGATGAAGGCGGTAGGTGTCGCATCAGTCACGCACGGAGCGAATATTGCTAATACTTTGTTTTGTCAAATTTAACGTAATACTTAAGATTTGATTTGAAATTAGGCTCCACCCACGATGCGCATTCGACCACAACACAATTCGTCCTTATTATTTCTTGGCCCTTCGAAGTGCAAGGTACTTGTATAGTCTGCGAGAAATTTTTTTTTTATTTTACTTGTGTTATTCACTATTTCTGTATATTCGCTACTGTGTGTTGAAGAAATATTGTATTACAATAGATTTGACTTTTTAAATAATTATCTTGGGCAATTTTGAGAAAGATTGACTTCGGCGTATCATAATAAATTATTATGTCACGGAAAAACGAATTCCTATATTGCGACATATAACAAAAAAAATTAATGAAGACAATATTTATATAGGGTCGCATGAAACTTTGAGAAAAGTGATGAGAAATATGGGATTTCGATGGAAGAAAGCGAAGAATAACAGAAAAATTTTATTGGAAACACTCGATATACAAGTGCTCCGGAGGAAGTTTCTCAGAAATATTAAACAATATATTGAATAAAATCGGCCCATAATTACATGGATAAAACTTATATTAATTCCTCTCATACCCATGACAGATAATGGGGAGACAATACCATCGAAGGTTTCCATAACCCAATGTCCAAAGGGCAAAGGCTGATTATTGTTCATGCCGGTGGCCAAATGGGGTTCATAAAAAATGTATGTTTGACATTTAAATCTGTTACAAAGTCTGGAGATTATCATAGCGAAATGAACTATAATAATTATAAAAAATAGATTAATGAAAAACTTATTCCTAATACACCAGCCCATAGTGTATTGATTATAGACAATGCATCATACCACAATCTCCAACTGTAAAAATGTGCCACTATGGGGTGTAGAAAAGACGAAATGAAGGAATATCCACAAGGAAAATAATTCCTGCAGCTGGCTGTATACCACGGTTAGATCTTTGTAAATGGGTATATTTAAAAAACCCTTAAAAGGGCTACATCAAATTACACAAACGTTTTTGGAATAATAATTCCATCACCAAAATATCAGGGTAAAAACCCTTTAAAATACAAAAGGTTACAAAAGATTGTACATGATGTTGTTATTAATATGTGATGTTTAATATTAAATTAAATTTAACTTTAGGTAACATACACCCATGTCTTAAGTGTATCTATGTGACATACACCCATATGTTCTATTTCTGATAAAGAATCTTCCTGTTCAACTTTATAATGGTGATCTGCCAATGAGTCAAGAGCAACCCTTGGGGAATATGTTGCTTCCTGACCCGGTCCATAAATCATGTGCAGATGTCATCAAAATATGCAGAAAATATTTCTGTTAAAAGTAGAAAATCTTAATTTGATAGGTTTTGGTCGCTAAATTCATAAGAAGCTAAAACTAATTTTATTGTTGCTGGTGTTTTCGAGATTAAAAAAAAAGAAATGATACAAATATCGAAAAAAGGAAATACTATCGAATTTATAATATAAAGGACACAAAGGTGTATCGAGAAATGTTTATAAATACTCTAAACGTAACTACATTTCGAATAAAAACTGCTTTAAGGAAATTTCAGGGTAGGGCTCCTAATGGTGATAAAAGAGGTTTGAAGCAGAGAGGCAAAAACAAATTATCAGATGAAACAATTCAAGCAGTTATTAGTCAAATTTATACAATACCTAAATACATTTCACACTATCGTCAGAAATAAACGGAGGGGAAATATTTACCACCTGGTACCACGTTACAATAAATGTATGGCATGTATAAGCAGGAAGAAGCCAGTCCCGTAAGCTTAA